AAGACTACATCGATATCGACGATTAGTAAGGTTCGATTAACGCAACTCTTATAAAATCTTTGTGTTAACTACTTTTTATGTTTAAAAAGATATCATCTGATAGCCAATGTTGCTACTTCAAAAATATACGCTAGCAAGTATATATTGTTTGAATGATCACTTATATTCGTTATAACTATCTTAAACTTCTATATATCTTCTGAATGTGTTGACAAAATAAGTATAACGAATATTCATTGCCCGCACCATGCGCAGGCCACCACCTAGTCTCTATATAAGGAGTTGCCAAAGTGTGGCATAACTTCTAGAGAGAGCTTTAGTTTTGAGTTATTTTCTAAGGCTTAATAAAGAAAGTTATTCTTTATATCATTCTTAAATTCTATAATTGGTATCAGAGCATCAGGGCTCTTTAAGAACGTAACGGAACGATGGGAGATATTGTAGCAGCAACGGCGAGGCCAAAAGAAGGTGGATGGTCATCCTCCATTACATGCCCTATGCTGAACTCGACTAACTATATCGTATGGGCCATGAGGACGAAGATCACACTCAAGGTTCACAAGGTGTGGGAAATAATCGACCCAGGAACACATCCGCCTGATAGCGAGAAGAATAACATGGCAATAGCGTTGCTGTTCCAATCGATTCCCGAAGCACTTGTACTCCAGGTTGAAGAACTCGACACAGCACAGAAGGTGTGGGAAGCAATAAAAACGAGACATGTGGGAGCAGAGAGAGTCAAAGAAGCGAGACTACAAACGCTATTAGCTGATCGATAGGTTAAAGATGAAAGATTCCAAAAATATCGATGACTTCTCAGGGAAGTTATCTGAAATTTCATCCAAATCAGCTGCCCTAGGAACCACTATCGATGAATCAAAACTTGTGAAAAAGTTTCTTACAAGCCTTCCTCGAGGAAAATATATACATATCGTGGCATCTCTCGAGCAAGTGCTAGACCTAAACACAACAAGTTTCAAAGATATAGTCGAACGCATGAAGGGGTATGAGGAACGGATATCTGAAGCAGAAGATACTCAAGAAGAACAGGGCAAACTCATGTACACCAGCTCAGAAACACCATCTAACCAATCGAGTTGTGATGACAGCGAAGAGTATAGAGGTAGAGGACGAGGAGGATGATACAGAGGAAGGGGTCGAGGAAGATCTAATGGCGGAAGAGATCACTCGAAGGTCATGTGCTATCGTTGTGATAAACTCGGACACTATGCCTCTGTATGTCCGGATCGACTACTTAAACTGCAGGAAGCACAAGAAAATGCAGATAATGATGATACGGAGAATGCTGATGAACTCATGATGCATGAAGTAGTATACATTAACGAAAAGAAGTGTGTACTAAGCAAGTACAAGACAAATACAGGAGAGGAGAATATTTGGTACCTTGACAATGGTGCTAGCAATTACATGACTGGAGATATTAGATATTTCTCCAAGATCCGATCACTCCGTAACCGGAAAGGTGAGATTTGGCGATGATTCCTATATAGACATCAAAGGGAAAGGGTCGATATCTTTCACTGATATGAATGGAGAATCAAGAGTGATGTCTGATGTCTATTTTATACTGAACTTAAAGAGCAACATCATCAGCCTTGGTCAAGCAACCGAGTCAGGATGTGATATCCAAATGAGAGGAGAGCGTCTCATAATGCATGATCACAAGGGAAAGTTGCTGGTGGTTTCAAATCGGTCTAGAAACCGACTATATAAAATGTGTATGGGAATTACAAATACCACGAGCCTACATCTAGCAACAACAAGTGAGTCAAACAGGTGGCACGCAAGATTAGGTCACGTAAATCTCGAGACAATGAGATTGATGTTACAAACAGGGCTAGTTAAAGGGATTCCCAGTATTGATGTTGAAAAGAAGGTATGCGGATCGTGCCTACTTGGTAAACAAACCAGACAGGTGTTTCCCAAAGCAACTCTATACCGGGTAAGCAAGAAGCTCGAGCTCGTACACGGGGATCTTTGCGGGCCAATAACGTCAAGCACTCATGCCGGGAAAAGATATATCTTCGTCTTCATTGATGACTATTCAAGATACATATGGAAAATATTGTTGAAAGAGAAGAGCGATGCTTTTAACAAATTCAAGATATTCAAGTGCTTGGTAGAACAAGATTCAGGTGAAAATATAAAAACGTTCAGAACTGATCGAGGAGGAGAGTTCTTATCAGAAGAATTCAATTCATTCTGCAACAGCAACGAAATTAAGCGACATCTTACTGCTCCATACACTCCTCAACAAAACGGAGTTGTTGAGAGACAAAACAGAACTCTGATGGAGATGACGAGAAGCATCATGAAACATATGCATGTTCCAAACTACCTTTGGGGAGAAGCAACAAGACACTCGACCTATCTCTTGAATCGAATAGCAACTAGAGCACTTAAAGATAACGCCAAATGAAAGGTTTTACGGAAAGAAGCCAAATATTCGACATCTTCGGATCTTCGGGTGTATAGGTTACGCAAAAATTGAGAAACCTCAGCTGAAAAAATTAAATGATAGATCACGAATGCTTGTCCACTTAGGCACAGAACCAGGATCAAAGGCGTATCGGTTACTCGATCCACAAAGAAAAAGAATAATCGTGAGCCGAGATGTTGTGTTTGACGAAACAAAGGGTTGGAATTGGAACCACAACACCTCGACTCAGGACCATGACGAAAGCTTTATCATGGAGTTTGGGGAGTATGGTAATCGCGGAATACAAGAGATAAGTGAAAACCATGAAATATGAGAAGTTATCGATTGCACAGAACAGAGGAAATCGCAGGATAACGAAGACCCACTACTCTGTTCACGTGATATAGAAACAGAGTATGCAGAGTCGCCGGATGAAACAGAGGACGCAGAGGTTGACAACTCGGCTCAGCCTGAATTACGAAGGACACAAAGAGAAAGAGCAAAACCAGCGTGGCATAAGGATTATGTGATGCTCGCAAAAGAAATCGCAGAGGAGGAAGGAGAAAGACTGCTGCTGTGCATAAATGGTGAACCGTATGATTTTTATGAAACCATGGAATCGAAAGATTGGATGTATGCTTGTGAAGACGAAATTGCATCCATCAAGAATAATAAAACTTGGAATCTTGTGGATTTACCACACGGAGCAAAACCGATCGGGCTGAAGTGGGTCTTTAAACTCAAATGTAACTCGGACGGAAGCATTAACAAGTACAAAGCACGGCTTGTGGCCAATGGGTATGTTCAACGCTATGGTATTGACTTTGATGAGGTGTTTGCACCGGTGGCCTGGATTGAGACAATACAGCTTCTCATCAACCTTGCAGCAACAACTGGATGGGAGATACACCATCTCAACGTTAAGACAGCCTTCCTCCATGGTGAATTATAGGAAGTTGTTTATGTGACACAGCCAGAGGGTTTCGAATAGAAGGAAAGTGAGCACAAAGTATATAAGTTAAACAAAGCCTTATATGGTTTACGGCAGGCACCAAGAACATGGAACAACAAGCTCAATCAGATACTCACGGAACTTAAGTTCAAAAAGTGTTATAAAGAACCCTCAGTTTATCGAAAGGAAGTAAAGGAGTGTCTTTTAGTCATAGCAGTATATGTCAATGATTTATTTGTCACAGAATCAAACAAAGAAGTCATCGACAAGTTTAAGAGCGAGATGGCCTCCAAGTTCGAGATGAGTAATCTCGGGAAGTTGACATACTATCTTGGGATCGAGGTATGCCCATATGATGGAGGAATAATGCTTAAGCAGGAACACTATGCTCTAAAGATCTTAGAAGAAGCAGGGATGAAAGAGTGTAACTTAGTTCATACGCCAATGTAGTCCGGGTTGAAATTATCAAAATCCGTAGATGAGAAGGACATTGACGCTACAACATTCAGAAAGAATGTGGGATGCCTTTGGTATTTACTTCATACGAGACCAGATTTGAACTACTGCGTGGGAGTACTTAGCAGGTATATGCAGAGTCCGAAAGAATCTCATGGACTCGCAATGAAATAATGTTTGAGATACCTGCGTGGTACAACTACTTTGGGCTTAAAATTTAATCGTTCAGTTACGAAGGTACCAAAACTCATAGGTTACAGCGACAGTAGCCATAATGTCGATCCTGACGATGGGAAAAGCACGACTGGTCACATATTCCATCTCGGCGGTACTCCAATCTCTTGGTGCTCGCAAAAGCAAGAGACTGTAGCGTTGTCTTCATGTGAGGCTGAGTTCATGGCAGGAACAGAGGCAGCAAGGCAAGCGATTTGGCTCCGAGACTTGCTTAATGAGGTTACGGGATTGCCAAGGGAGAAAGTTGTCATACGGGTTGACAACAAATCAGCGATAGCCCTTACCAAAAATCCTGTGTTCCACGGTCGTAGCAAACATATACACACCAGGTATCACTTCATAAGAGAGTGTGTTGAAGATGGGCTAATAGAGGTTGAGCATGTTTCTGGAAATGAGCAAAAGGCAGACATCCTGACAAAGGCACTTGGAAGAATCAAGTTTAAAGAAATGAGAAAACTCATTGGTGTTCAAAATTTTGCACATATTGACTTCAAGTTTAGGAGGAAAAATGTTGGATTAAGCTTGAAGAAAGCTTGAGATATAAACTATTAGAGATTAGAAATAAATTTAGGAGTTATCTAAATATAAGTTGGATTCCTAATAGAGTTTGGTTTTGGTCTTAATCTCTATATAAAGAGATACCAAAGTGTGGCATAACTTATGAGTTTGAGATTGAGAGAGCTTTAGTTTGGAGTTATTTTCTAAGGCTTAATAAAGAAAGTTCTTCTTTATATCATTCTTAAATTCTATACAGATCAGCCTTCAAAAATCTCCTTCTTGTGTTACTTTTTAGAGGAGACCTACAGGTCTTGACTTGTTTCTTTGTAAAGTATCGTTTTTTTTGTGTGTGTTGAGAGAATCAAAAGTCCAACAACATTCCACATATAATACTGGTTTTGCAGATAGACTTAATGTATTATGCCAACACGGATCTTCTCCTTGCCTTTCATTGTGATACCGAAGTCTCTTAAGGGTAAAACCATTGACTCATTCGTTCTCTAGCTTATTGTTTACACATTGACTAATCAAGAACACTCACCAGATGGTATTTGCTAACGATCTTGTAGGTACAAGTACAAGTTTCTCAAGGCAACAACGGCGAATATTCCGGGAAACGTGGTGAGAGAAAACAGGGGAAGCAAGATGACGATAGGGAGAGGAGGAATGTTGAAAGTTCGTCACTTGGTTTTGGTTGCTAAAGCTTTAGCGCCACATGTTGAGTCTGCAGGGTATCAGCCTCCCAGTCGCATTGCTTTTATAGAGTTCTTTGTGAAGCCTGAAGAGCCTTCTGATTAAATTGATTTCTGTTCATTTCTGATTGTAATGCTCGTCCGTACAAAGTTCCAAAGAAAGAATTACTGCGGTTAAGTGTTATAAAGCTAAACGGTAATCTAAAATTCTAAATTAGAAAAAAGGTAAGCAAATAAAGCCATGTCAGTTTTTAGGTCTTATAATTTTATTTTCTTGGGTTATAGTTTAGGATTTCAGAGTTTATAGGATTTAGGATTTGTTTTTAAGCTTTTAAAATGGCAGTTATTTTGTTTAAAGGTATAGAATTTAACAAAGGAAGAGGTATACACTTAGGGGATAGTAACAAAGATGAAAGGTAAATTTATGAAAACAAACACTTAATATTTTGACTGTTACCAATAATAAACAAGTTTAGGTGAAGCAGCAATATAATAATTTGCTGCAAATCCACTTTATATAAAACTACTAGCAAGCTGAATCTAAGAAGTCATAAACTTTTCAAAAACACCGAGAAGAACAGAATGTAACTCCAAAAAACATGAAGATGGATGGGTATTCAAACCACACACGTCACAAAATGGCCGACTCATACGATTATTAGAAATCACAGAAGATTCGTTCCCTTAGTACCAGAAGAAGACAAAGTTTGAAAGAAAAACTTCTTGCGGTTGTGTTACAAAAGCTAAACGGTAATCTAATAATTTTATTTTCTTGGGTTATGGTTTAGAATTTCAGAGTAAGGACTTTCTTTTCAGCTTTTGAAATATAGCAGTTATTGTTGGAACTCAATTTCAAGGTATCTTGCATGGTTCATTTCCGGAAAACTCCGACATATTCCCGAATGAATTATCAGAATATGAATGTACTCATATGTTAAAATTGGAATTTGTTTTGAATGAGAAATGTTTTTCTAATGTTTGTTACTTGAAAGACACAAAATTGACTATTAGAAATTGTGGAGAACCTAACAAGGTTTAAAACCTTAGGACAATTGTAGAGAAAAGTAAATCCATGTTAAACCATAGGTGCGCGCACCGAGACAAGTCGAAAATGGGTCGACTCGGGTTTGGGTTTAGGCGTGGATTCGAGGTAGATGGACTTTGGTCTAATAACTTTTATTTTGTATCAAATTTATTTGTATAATTGATCACCACATAAATTTTAATTTGGTTAAAAATAAATAAATTATTTAAACAAATGAGAATAAAAACTTGGCAAGTCAAGTATTTTCAACAATTAAATAATTGATTCTCATCAGTTTTGTAACTCCATAAATAAACTCAATTTTAATTGAGATTAATGAGCATTATGGACCATGATGGAGTTGAAAAGTTTCATCTCTCTCATTCTTTATAAAAAGAACATGAAATAACAATCTTCACACACTTCTTCTGTTTTATTTTTCTTTAGTTTTTTTTATGAGAGTACAACACAGAAAAAAATTCGAAAGCTTATGAACTAAGAGTGATGCGAATCATAAGAATAATGCAGTTGTATTCTGGGATTCAGAGCGCCATGCAACCGTCACACTATGGGGCGTTTATAGAATTAAGGAAAGAGATCACCATGTCTCGACTCTCCAATCTGTTTTCCTAAATTTTTGTTCAATCGGTATTATTTTATACTATGTTTATCGGTTTATTTTATATAATTTTTTCATGAATTATCAGTCTGCCCAATTGTAGTAATTGTGTTCCTACAATCTTAATTCTATAAGTTTTTGTTTACAGGAATCTGGATCTTAAATCTGTATCTGATCAATTATTTAATTATTTTCAGGTTATTTTGGTTCTGAAATTTATTGTTTATTCAACAAAAATTCAGAAACACATATCCCTCATTTTATTTATATTTTTTTTCCAGTTTTGTTAATAACTGAAAAATTATTATAAAATGCTTAGATAATTTATTCTATTTATTTAAATTGTTTAAAAGTATCTTTGCATTAATCTGATTAAATTCTGATTATTTTGCAGATTCTTAGAATTTTTTCCATGATTAAAATCTGTGAAAACAGGTGTTCAAAGAAAAATTATGTTCATGCTAGAACATAATATCTGAAACTTGTGTGCTTTGTGTCTTTATAATTTCTTTTGCTTCATTTTATATCGCATTTGCTTATTGGTTGATTAATTCATTTATGCTTTTGCGTTAATCTGATTAGTTTGCAGCTTTGGACTTGAATGAGAATCATTTGATTTTATGAAATTATGAAGACCAAATTCTAATAATAATACACATATTGAAGACACTTGATTTTCTAATTGTTGATATTGTATCACTTCAGACAGACCCTTGATCATGTATTTGATCTGATCTTCATGCTCAGTTGGTTTCCCAAGAAGAGCAATTGATCAAACAAGTTGTTAAGCTTGAAGGTATTGGTCGATTGATTTGTTACCTTTTGAGTGTTGTTCGAGTTGGTGTTTGAGTTGCTTGATATGGCCTCTACTTGGCTTTGCATAGATTGCAGCAATGGTTTTTCACATCTCCAATAAAGTATTTGATTTGGAGACAAGAGTTTGAATGGAGGGATTGATGGTTCCAAGAAAAATGTTGAAGATGAGTTTGTTTTGTCTCTTCCATGCAGTATAGTCGAGATTCGGTATTGTTTGACCGTTGGTGATGAAGGTTAGAGGCGGAGATGGGATCGATCTATCAACATAGGCAGCAAATTCGTATCCGTCATGTAGCGCATGAACTTGAATGTTCCAAACTTCCAGGTCATGTAGTTGATTGGGGTGAGTTTGGTGATATTAGATATATTGATGTGGAGAAGGGAGGGAGCGACTGCTTCAACTGGAGCAACCATGGATTATGGAGAAGAGAGAAGGAGAAGAAAAGAAAAAGAGGGGAGGCGGCTATGAAGAATTTAGAGTATCATACTAAGCTCTGATATCATGTACAGAATCTATTTTTGTATATTGATTATGAAATGATACAAACATTAAATTATACAAGAGATGAGAAAGATCTAAACTATTGTATTTACAGAAAGTTTCTAAAACAATGTAACAAATATTTATATCTTAAAGGGGAATCACAATCATATAACCCTAAGATAATAGTGCCTCAGAAAGTCAAAACCTTTCACATGCATGCAAAGGAAAGACAAGTAATCGTATCATCGTATGTGGAGACTGCTCCTTTCATTTAGACCACACAAGAACTTTCCTCTTTTTTTTCTTTCTGTTTTCAACAACTCTTTTTTAGTCTGAGCTATTTCAAATGGTATTGCTAACGTATCAATCATCAGCGCTGAAGGAAGCAATAGATGATCTTGAATGGCCTGGATCAAGCGTACAGATCAGCCTTCAAAAGTCTCCTCCTTGTGTTACTTTTAGAGGAGAAGGACACGGAGACCTACGTACAGGTCTTACTTTCTCACTTGTTTCTTGATGAAGTATCGTCTTTGTGTTGAGGGAATCAAAAGTCCAACACATTCCATATAATCCTGGTTTTGCAAATAGACTTCATGTATTATGCCAACATGGATCTTCTTCTTGCCTTTCATTGTGATACACCGAAGTCTCTTACGGGTAGCCATCAACTCATTCATTCTCTAACTTTTAGTTTACACACTCATGGATCTGATTGACAAATCAAGAAGACTCACCAGATGCATTTGCTAACGATCTTGTTTGGTTCTAAGGTACAAGTACAAGTTTCTGAAGGCAACAATGTCGAATATTCCGGGAAACGTGGTGAGAGAAAACAGGGAAAGCAATGTTAGTGATGGGTTTAGCACCCCTTGCTAAAAGCCCTTCATAAATTGAGATAAGGCCCATTTGAAACCCTACCTCTGCCTCCGGAGTTAGGTCGGCGCTCAAATATGGAAATATCCGAAGATATATTCAAATCGCGGAAGAAAAAGAAAGAGAACCCCGCGAAGAAAGGAAATTATCCTAATCCCGAAGGAGAAGGATTAATTTCGAGGCGGTCTGCGAAGGCTATATAAGAAGAACTAGGATAAGGATTAATTTCGAGGCTGTCTGCGAAGGCTATATAAGAAGAGCCCCTCCCTCGAAGATCATCCATTCACAACTTCAGACTCGAGACCTAGGACAAATAATAGCTTACTGCTTCCAGTTCTAGATCTCGGTTTTTTACTCTTAAAACTTAAGTCGGCGTTCTTTTCCGACGACCTAAATCTCTTGTACTCTTCGAGCTCCGGCTAAATTCAATAAAACTATATCTTTTGCCTCCGCAATCTTTATATTTTCTCTTAGAGAGATATCTAGATCTTACAAGCAAGATACCAATAGGGAGAGGAGGAATGTTGAAAGTTTAGCACTTGGTTTCGGTTGCTAAAGCTGCAGCCTGCAGAGAATCAGCCTCCAAATCGGACTGCTTATATAAAGTTCATTGTGAAGCCTGAAGAGCCTTCTGATTAAATTGATTCTTTTCATTTCTGATTGTAAGACTTACTTCGTACAAATTCCCGAAGAAAGAATTATGGGAATTTGTCAACAAAAAAATAAAATATGGCGGTTAAGTGTTATAAAGCTAAACGGTAATCGAAAATTATAAACTAAAAAATAGGTAAGCAAATAAAGCCATATAATTTTATGTTCTTGGGTTATGGTTTAGCATTTCAGAGTTTATAGGATTTATGATTTGTTTTTACGATTTTTTTCATCTTTTAAAATATGGCAATTATTTTTGTTAAGAGGTAAATGATTTAACAAAAGAAGAGGTATACACTCAGAGGAGATAGTAAAAGTTAGGGATGGGTAAAATAACCAAACCGAATTGAACCCACCTGACAATTGAACCTAAACTGATTCAAACCAAATCAAAGTCTATAGAGACATTTCAGTCTGAATGGTTTGGTTCGGTTCGATCCAAATTGAAAACTTAGGAGGTGTTATTGGTTCTTGTATTTTAATGGATTTGAGAATTCAAACCAAATTCAGTGTTATTGGTTCTTGTATTTTAAAATTTATATTGAAATACAGTGTTATTGGTTCTATGATTTTAAAATCCATAATGAAATACAGTATTATTGGTTCTATCATTTTAGAATCTAAATATTATAAGGATTTGAGTTTTAATTGAATTTGAATGGATTTGGAAGGATTTTCATGACTAAAATACAAAGACCCAAATACAAGGTCTAACCTTGGTATTTGAGTGGATTTGATTTTTTTCCATTTTGCTGATTTTGAAATCAATAAATTTATCAAATCCAAAAAATATTTATAAATTCACCAAAATACAAGAACCAATAATCCTTACTTAATATATGTACTTAATTTAATTAATAATAATAATTGGATGGTTCGGTTCGGTATTATCATCATGATAAGATGAAATTGATTATTTTGGTTTTTTCCTTTTTAATTAAGTATGATTTTAAATTGGTGGTTATACGAACTTTGTATAACTTTGTTTTGATGACATTTCTTTTGCAAGGTTTGTTGTTTAAAACGGTTAAACAGTTAATAGTTTTTAAAATTTTATATGTTTTGTAATCTATTAATTGAAGTAAAACAAATTCAAATTAATTCTAACCGAAATATATTGAAATCGAACTGAACCATATCCAAACCAAATTAATTTTGGAGAGACATAGATGCCAACGTGACATGCCCGAGATGTGGAGCTCCGGAAACAATATTACACATTTGGCTGGAATGCCCATTTGCAAAACAAATCTGGAATGCATCAACGATTTCTCCAAACCCAACCTCGTATCCTTCCGGACCCGATTCGAGAAGTTTCCTCAGAGAACTCTACAAGACAAAGATCCCCAGTGCCACTGATCTCACAGGCACCCCTTTCTTCCTGTGGATTCTTTAGTACCTCTATACTGCTAGAAACAACCTCATCTTCGAAAGAAAAAGCTTCCCAGCACAGGCTATCCCAGCAAAAGCTCTATTGGAGGCAAAAATCTGGCATTCGGCTAACCTCTTACTAGCAATAACCCAACCAAGACATCGATCGTCCGAAAAGAAACTCTCAATTCCTCCAGTCTCGACTTGTTTTACAGATGAAGCATGGAGGGAAGACACTAAAATCGGAGGCATGGGATGGATCCTAAAAGATCCAGGAGGAAGCACAATCCGGGAAAATACCTCTGCTAGGAACTTTGTAGCCTCACCCCTTGTTGCAGAAGCCCTAGCGATTCTGGCAGGCCTCCGCGAAGCCATCTAGATGAGCATCAAGGAGCTCCACCTTCATTCGGATTCGGAAGTCCTCATCAACATCCTCTCCGGAGGAATGGATCAGAACGAGATCGCAGGAATCCTAGATAACATTTGAGCCCTTGTCCCTCTCTTCTCTTCCCTATCTTTCAGTTTCATTGCTCGTTATGCAAACTTTGATACAGATGGGTTGACAAAACCTGCTCTTCCAAATTTTAGCCCATTGAGCCTTATAGAATTATTTTAATTTCAGTCTTTAATATTAATAATTCCCCCCCCCCCCCCAAAAAAAAAAAAACCTATATATAAAAGTTTAGATTTAGCTTGCCTAATAAAAAAAATAAATTAACATGTAAAAACAACATATAACTTTACATTTATCAATATAGACATGTATTAATTAATTTAGATTTTTATATAAAGTTATAGATTTAGTTTACATATAAGAAAACAAGAAGTTACATGTCAAGAAAACATATAGCTTTACATTTAACTATATATACATGTATTTATTATTATGTATGAAAATATGAGTTATTTATTATTTAGACATTTATATATAAAAATATTGTGATTGTATAAACAATTGAAGGAAAGATTGAGTGTACGGGAGATGGATCCGAGTTTTCCAAAATCTTTAGGCATCAAGTCAAAAAATTCGATTGATAAGAGATCGAGTTGGGTAAAATTCTTCATCTCCAACCATATTTCTCTGGAAATCTCACCAGATCTCCTAAATTGTTGAGATCTGAAGAGGAAGATCAAGAAATTTGGAGAGAAAAGACAAGAGAGAGAGAGAGAGAATTTCTTGATAAATTGAAGTTTTGTATAGATCTAAATCGATTGGGTAATAAATTGTTGGGGTAAAAATTAAACGCTGGAGCTGGTTACATTTTTTGGCAGTGGGAAACAAGAGGGTGTACATAAATAATTTCCAGCAACTAAGAGCATCTCCATCTGCAAAACTCTTTAAAAGAGTACAAGAAATATTTTAATAATATAATTGTTATATATAATTAATGTTTAAAAATAAAAAGAATTGAACCATTTATATGAGGACAACTGTTTTTGAGTCTCTTAGTTTTTTTTTGTTGAGTCTCCCAAGTGAGAGATGGAAGAGGCGGTTTTATGTCTCTCTCCTAACTTTTTAATTTTTTTTAATTGTTAGAACCTGTGTGAGAGACTAGCGTTGCGGGTGCTCTAAGAGCATCTCCAATGATGAGGTATTGTTTGGGTTTCTCAGACAAAAAAATATTATTATTTTATTACAATTAAATTTTAAAATTAAATTTTAATTTAAATAAAAAGTTTGAGACAATAAACAAAAGACAAATGTTATGCACTTCTCTGTCATGTCATGAATATTTTCAAACGAGAACTTCTCTTTATTCTCTTTCTTACTTCTTGATTTTTTAAATTATTTTTATTGTTCAGAATCTATTGAGATATGTGAGGGATGAAGAAATTAGAAAGCTTCAGTTTCTCTCTCCTCATATTAAAGATGAATTTATTTGATTTGTGAATTTTTTTTCTCTTTCTAAACAAAAAAAAATTATGAAAAATATTATGGATTATTTTGTTTAAACGCGTAAGGATATAATTGATCAAAGAAGTGGTTAATTATTATAATGTTTAGACCTACAAATTAATCTTGTTCTTTTGTAGGTTTACAATTAGTCCTTTACTATTTAGTGGTAATACTTATATCATAATTTGCTGCAAATCCACTTTCTATAAAATACAAGCACACTGAATCTTATAACAATCTCTATAACATTGTAAAGAACAGAATGTACGTCGCATTTCCTTCAAGATGGATGGGAATTGACAGCGGAAACCACAGCCGTCACAAACTGGTCGACTCATACGATCATTAGAAATCACATGAGATTTGTTGGGTTTAATCCATATGAGGTCACCAAGCGTACATTTGATATGAAAAGTGATGCCACAGAGACCACATGAATAAAACCATTTTTCTGGGTTTAGATCTTCTTCGCATATCTCGCAACAGTACTGCTCTGTCGTTTTTGCACCGTAACACAGAGACAGAAAATGATCTTTATCGTTTTTGTGTTTAACCATCTTTGGCAAAATAGAACAGTTAATGTCCAAAGCAAATCCACTCTTCACAACCTAAAACCATAGCTGCTTTATCTCCACAAGCATTACAGAATTTGTCCCACGTTAGGTTACTGATGTATAGCGAATGATCAGGATGACTTTCATGGACAAATGGCTCAGAGATAGAACCACATCGCACATCAAGATTGATAGTACTATTATCATCACCTTCGTACTTGAAACCTTCAAAATTGTTTTGGCAAACACCGCAGAAATTTAAGCGCATTTCTGATGAATCAGTAGAGCAGAGTAGTGTCATTGGCATCTTGTAGAAAGAATCTGTAATCTTTTTGGAGAGATAAGCGCATTTCTGATGAATGGTGAAATCATCACATTCCATGCAGTCGTAGAATGTGTTAAGAAGGTTTTTTTGTTATTTCAATAACGACATGTTTTTGGTCAATCTCTGTTTTGCTATTTTCCCGTTACTAGTGGAGTTAGTTGAGGGCGTGTCCTCTATTTTCGCTTCTGCAGTTTTTCATGTATTCCCTTAAAAGGCATTGGAACCTATGAATGAATATAGATCATTCCGTGCAATTCTTTGTGTTCTCTGTTTTACAATTCACATTTGGTATCAGAGCAAAACAAAGAGAAGTGATCAAAGAGAGAAAAGAGAGAAGAAAGACAATGAGTGAAGACAAAACACTTACAAAGATTCCTCAGTTTGATGGTTTTTATGATCATTGGAGCAAGCTGATGGAAAATCTCCTGCGAACAAAGGGGTTATGGAATCTGGTGAGTGAAGGATACGCAGAACCTGCAGTGGGCATTGCAATGTCCCCAGCGCAACAGAAACAATACGATGATGTGAAGATGAAGGATCATCAAGTGAAACACTACCTGTTTCAGGCGATTGATCGGGTTGTGTTTGAACAGATATTGGATCGGAGAACATCCAAGATCATTTGGGATTCAATGAAGAAAAAGTTTGGAGGAAATGAGAGAGTGAGGCGATCTCTGCTTCAAACTTTGAGAAGAGATTTTGAGATGCTAGCAATGAAGAATGATGAGAACATTGATGATTACTTCAAAAGAGTAATGTCAGTTTCTAACAAAATGAGAAGCAACGGAGAAGACATGTCGGATTCGAAAATTGTTGAGAAGATACTTCGAACCTTGACAGAGAAGTTTACGTATGTGGTGGTGTCTATTGAGGAGTCCAAAGACACAAGCAGCATGACCACCGATGAACTACAGAGTTCCCTGTCCATCCATGAGAAGAAATTCAAGAAGATCACCTATGAAGAAGATGACCGAGCTCTTAATATCAAAGGCAGAGGCAGCGGATCATACAGAGGACGAGGCAGAGGTAGAGGACGCACTTTCAACAAAGTATTAATCGAGTGCTACAAGTGTCACAACCTCGGACATTTTGCGTATGAATGTCCGAAGACACACAATGCAGCGAATTATGCAGAGTTAGAAGAAGAGGATGAAGTTCTACTGATGGCACATGTAGAGCTTCAAGGAGCAAACAGACATGATGCGTGGTTTGTAGACTCCGGATGCTCAAACCATATGTGCGGAGATAAATGAATGTTTACAAGCTTGGACACTAGTTTCACTCACAATGTCAAGCTTGGAAATAACCATAGGCTGATGGTTTGTGGGAAAGGTGCAGTGAAGATTATGCTTAATGGAATAAGCTATGTGGTGAATGATGTGTATTTTGTTCCTGACCTGAAGAACAACTTGCTAAGTGTTGGACAACTTCAAGAAAAGGGGCTAGATCTGTTGTTCAAAGGAGGAGATCGAAATACATGTAGCATCTTTCACCATGCAAAGGGAAAAATTGCAGAATCAGTTATGACTGCAAATCGGATGTTTGTGCTGCTTAGTGAAACATATGGGGAGAAGAAAGAAGAGAGGTGCTTTCAGGTGGACATCTCAGACAAGGCAGAGCTTTGGCACCATCGATATGGACATCTAAGCTACAAGGGTCTCTCTACTCTACAAAACAAAGACATGGTCATCGGGTTGCCTGCAATCAGACAAGATAATATCACTTGTGAAGCGTGTGTCAAAGGAAAACAACACCGAGTGTCCTTTCCAAAGCAGAGCAATTGGAGAGCATCTGAGAAGCTGCAGCTCATTCACTCGGACTTGTGTGGGCCAATCACTCCAGCCTCTAACAGCCAGAAGAGGTACTTGATAAGTTTCATAGATGATTTCTCTAGAAAGGCATGGATATACTTTGTTTTAGAGAAATCAGAAGCTTTTCATCAATTCTGTTTGTTCAAGAGATTTGTGGAGAAGCAAACAGGGATGTTTATCAAGTGTCTAAGAACTGACAGAGGTGGAGAATACAATTCCAACGAATTCAAGGAGTTTTGCAAGGAGCATGGGATCAAGCGACAGCTGACCACGTCTTACACTCCACAACAAAATAGAGTAGCCGAACGTAAGAACCGAACCATCATGAATATGGTCAGAGCTATTCTAACAGAGAAAGATGTACCAAAGACGTTCTGGGCAGACGCAGTGCAGTGGACGAATCATGTTCTCAACCGATCTCCGACGCTGATTGTCAAAGATATGACTCCAGAAGAAGCATGGAGTGGAAACAAGCCTTCAGTTGAGCATTTCAGAGTGTTCGGGTGCATCGGACACGTTCATATTCCTGATGTTAGAAGGACCAAACTGGATAATAAGAGTGTGAAGTGTGTTCTGGTTGGATACAGCAGTGAGTCTAAAGCTTTCAAGATGTTTGATCCAATAGAAAAGAAGATTCACATCAGCCGAGATGTGATTTTTGAAGAAGAGAAGAAGTGGAATTGGGATACTAGTTACTCGGCTGAACAGAATATGGAACTTGAATGGGAAAATGAGCTTGGTGAGAATGAAATCGAAGAGGAAGAGATAGAAATAGAAGAAGTAGAAGGAGATCTATCATGTCAGAATGAGGATCTTCAGAATGAGGATCTTCCCTTGACAAATGATCCTCAACCTGCAGCGACAACATCAGGGGTGAACATAATAAGGAACAAACCAGCTTGGGCAGCTGATTACGTCTCTGGAGACGAGCTATCAGATGCAGAAGAAGAGGCAAACATGACTAGAGTTGAGGGTACAGAATCTGAAGTGCTTGCATTCATGGTCATTACTGATCCGACAAGCTTTCTCGAGGCTGTAAAACACTTGAGATGGAAGGATGCAATAGATGCAGAAATCAAATCCATTGAAAGGAATCAGACATGGTCTCTCGTGGTACTTCCGGATGGAGTCAACGCAATTGGTGTGAAATGGATATACAAAACTAAGTTCAACGAGTTGGGAAAGGTTGACAAGTTTAAAGTCAGACTTGTAGTGAAGGATTACGCTCAGGAATATGGAATACGGACAGTGACTATGCGGAAGATGTAGATGACAGCAGGAGTACTTCAGGGTATGTATTCTTGATGAGTGGAGGAGCTGTCGCCTGGTCCTCAAGAAAACAACCGATTGTAACATTGTTGACAATAGAAGCAGAATATGTTGTCGACAATGTTACAATCGGTTATTTCCTTGAGGACCAGGCGACAGCTCCTCCACTCATCAAGAATACATACCCTGAAGTACTCCTGCTGTCATCTACATCTCCCGCATAGTCACTGTCCGTATATCCAATGACCCCTCTTCTTTCTTCTTGCTTGTACCAAATCCTGAATTCCATTGTTCCCTTTAGATACCTCATGATTCTCTTCACTGCTGCAAAATGCAGGTTCGTGGGATTGGCCATGAATCGGCTGATGAGGCTTACCACGAACATAAGATCTGGACGTGTGGCGGTGAGATACATCAGACTCCCCACCATCTGCTTGTATAGAGTTGAGTCAGCCTTCACACCGGTTTCATCTCGCCCAATCTTCTGCGTGTGCGTGTCAAGCGATTTGGATGAGCAGAGTTCTTAAGGAGATCGGACACAAACAGGATGGTGAAGTGGTGCTATTATGTGACAACACATCCACCATCAAGTTGTCAAAAAATGCAGTCATGCACGGGAAGTCAAAGCACATAAGGGTTCGTTATCATTTTCTCAGAGAATTGACAAAGGAAAGTGTCGTTAAGTTGGTCTATTGCAGCACGGAGGAGCAGCTGGCTGACATAATGACAAAGGCGTTGAAGATGGCATCATTTCAGAAGATCAGAGAAGCGTTTGGGATGAAAGTTGTGAATTGAAACTTTTGATCGAGTTTTTCAGTTCAAGGGAGGGTTTGTTAAAAAGGTTTTTTAGTTATTTCAATAACAACCTATTTTTGGTCAATCTCTGTTTTGCTATTTTCCCGTTACTAGTGGAGTTAGTTGAGGGCGTGTCCTCTATTTTCGCTTCTGCAGTTTTTCATGTATTCCCTTAAAAGGCATTGGAACCTATGAATGAATATAGATCATTCCGTGCAATTCTTTGTGTTCTCTGTTTTACAATTCACAGAATGGGGTACCAAAAATGGGATATGTGCATGCTTTACACCATACGCTTTCATCATTGGCATCACTCTCTTCTTCTTTGAGCTTTAAATTAGGCTTCTCGTGACTGAAATGCTTTAATACTCCTTCTCCGATCACCTCATATGATTTAGAATCGGCGATATCTTCTAATATGCCTTTATATTCAATTCCATCCAAATGCCAAACCTTGTGGCGCATCTCATATGAATTGCAAAACCAGGTCACTTGGAACAAGAATAAGCTCCACATCTCCAGTTTATTTCTTTGTTGCACACTCCACAATTCCAATCTCCAGCAGTGAGGCAATGATTGTAAGAGATACGATGAACGTGACGACTTGTCTTTATGATGCGTGGTATGTCTATGCAACTTCTATGGACCATGAAATTGCATTGAAGACATACATAAGGATTTGGATCTTCGTCCATTATTCCACATGCATTACAAACAAAAGGTCGTTGCGGCAAAAGAGTGAGTGAATGTTCATGAGCTTTGGCGTGGACAAGAGTGAAAGGAGGTGGGCTCTTTGCACAATTGACATCCACACTAAAATCGCAGATAGAACAGTGATAAAACACGTTATGAAGTTTGCCTTCGCACAAGCAGCATTTTCCATCGGTGTAACTTGGAACACACGTGAGACGCTTGAGAGGGTATTTAGGATGACAAGAGTAGTTGAGCTCTGGTGTAGATTCGGCGCAGTCTTTGTGAAAACTCAAATCACATATGTTGCATGCATAAGGGAACCGATCATCAAGCAGCTCACATATATGACATGTAAACATAATCATCTTTGGAACAAGAGATAAACGATGCTCGTGGCTCTTTGGACTTTCGATCGTCATCGTAACTTCTTTTCTTGCACATATCAAATCGATTGCAAAATCACATATTGAACAATAATAATACATTTTTAGCAAGTTACCTCTACAAATCTTGCATTCTCCATGGGCATTTTCCTTTGCTGAGACTACCTTTATTATTAAACGATGTTGTGGATGGTGGTGGTTGGTAACATCTCGACTAGACTCAACACATTCTTTGTGAAAGAAGAGTCCAGAACCCCTGCAACGATGACCATCACTATAGTAGTTTGTACCAAGATTACAGGCCTCACATTTTAGCCCACGCGTTGGATATAGTTTATAAATTTCTCTGAGTAATTTCATTTTCTTTTGGTAAAGAAAGTATTTCGACAGATCGAAGCTTATACTATAGTATTTTCAATTTTTTTCTTTTTATGTTTTGGTTTCACGTAACGATGAGAGCTTTCCTTATATATAATATGATATAAAACCACGATATTCAGTTATTCTTTGTTAAAATGAAAAAGATACCCATAAAATTATGCTTTTCTTAATTTTGATCATAATGCAGACTCTACGAATAAATTCTTCTAATGTAACCATTGTTTTTCAAAAAAAGAAAAGCAAGTACATGAGACTCTCTTAAGAATATTTATACACCAAAGTTATTCTTTGTTTAACTAAGAGGACATTCCGATGTTCAAAATAACTTTCTAACGTATTTGGTAGCAAGTAAACTGTAACATCCACCTCTCATTATTTTAAGACGGCGTATTATCTATTTAACTTTTTAACCTAGTTACTATTTTTTAAACTCAAAACCAATACTCATTTATAAATAGAACTCAAATAGTCTTGCAAAACCGAATTTAAACTCAAAATAACCTCAATAAATCCTTAAAGAAAAGAAAAATTATTTGAAAAAAAAACTAAATGTTTTAAGTCTTCAAGATCGAACTAATAAATACTAACACTACCACCATGCGATCATTGCTGCTGCCCCTACTCACCTGCGAAAGAGGGAAGGGACATTTCTGATGAATGGTGAAGTCATCACATTCCATGCAATCGTAGAATGGGCTACCAAAAATGGGATATGTGCATACGCATTCATCATTAACATCACTCTCTTTTTCTTTGAGCTTTAAAATATGCTTCTCGTGACTGAAATGCTTTATTTCTTTTAAATGATGTTAATCTGTCTACTGTTAGCTAGAACATCAATTAAAATTAGTTTAGGTATTTATACTTCTGTTTTGAAACAAGATCAATAAATAAAAGTCGATCAATCTCTCAATACTAAATATCTTTGAAATACATGAGTTCTGGATATACTAAAATCTAATTGAGATTGTATTTATCATGTGAAGATATAGTTTAGATCAAATTTTTGTAGCAAAACTATATTCGTCTTTGTAAATGCTACAAAAATGACGTAAAGTTGTTCAAATCATTATTTTCTATTTCTCTTTATAGTTCTTTTTATAATAATCTGTATATGTTTAATTTTAAAAATGTTTTGTCTGATCAAACACTTATAATTTAATATATCAAAACACCACCTAAAAGTGTAGAAAAATTATTGTAGACTAACTGATCTTTCTATATAAAAAAGCCACCTAAAAGTGTAGAAAAAATATTGTTGCATTCAATAGTTTAAATTTTTATAAGTAATAGGTATAATATAATTTTTTTAAACAATCAATCTTTGTAATAATTTATAAAAAAAACAATGGTAATAAAATTACTATATTATAATAAATAAAGTGTTTTTTAAACATGAGATTATTTATATTATATGTAAACAAAATTTTATTGTTAGTTTTAGATGGTTTTTATATAATCAAACGTGTTATTTTTAATAAATAGATTTTTATTATCTTATATTAAGTTGATTTTTTCTTCTTATATTCTTCATAATTTACTTATCTTTATATATTTTATTAGTTAGTATTATAATTTGAAAATTTTCTTAATAAGTCAAAAAAGAAAATAATTAACTTAAGAATATAATTAATTACATAAAATGATGTGGACCAATGAAATGAATATTTTTATGATTTATATGACTTTTATAATCTAATAATATGTTAATTTTATTTTTATTTTTAATATGAAAATAAGATATAATTTCCATATTTTCTAAACTTAGTTTATTAATAATTATTTAAAAATTTATAAACTTTCCCAATAACAACAAAAATAAAATTATTAAAATTTAAAAAATTTACTAATAATAATAAACATGCTTAAAATAAATTTTAAATTATTTAACATATATATTGTTTAAATAATATTTATATTACTTAAAATACAATAGTAAATTTATTTATATAATGCTTGGTTATAAAAAAAAGATTATTTAGTGTTTTTCTATAGTTAATTTTTTAAAAGTTTTATGATTATTTTTAAATTTTGAATAATATGTATTTTAAATTATTAATTCATCATAAAATAACTATTTATGATATGTAAATTTTTGTTTTTTTCTACCTATATTAAAAAAATTAATATAATTAACCAATTTAAATAGGAAATTATATTCAATTTTTTCAAGTATCTAAATTTAAATTTGTTTTCTTTATAAATTTTATTACTGTTAATAACTTGGGGTATTAATAGATAAATCACACAAATATATTTGATTTTAAAATATTTTTGATGATTTAGTTTTAGATTGTAACAACATATAAGTTCTCAAATAAAACAAATTTTTATAATTTATATATGAAGTTCTCAATAAAAATAACCTCTTATATAGAAATGATATAATTAACATTGTAAATTATCTTAATAAAGTACTATATTCTGACTCTGTTTCATTTTAAATAATGATAATTTTTTGTCCTAATTTATTTGATTTTCTCTTATATCCATAAATATTTCAATTTATTTTAATTTATAATTAATAAAAAAATTATTTTATTCAAAGAAGTTTAAAAGTCTTTTATCAATAGCTAAAAAAATTTAAGTGAAAACATTAATCATTTTCGTTAGTTATTATTTACTTTTGAATTCATCTAGAATACGTTCACTTTTTTTTTTACTACTTTTTTTTCATTTTTTTATATTTACTTTTTTAATTTATTTATTAAATAATATTTTTAAATGTGAATTGTTTTTTAATATGTGTATTGTTAGCTATAACATCAATTAAAATGAATTCAAATAGTATACTTCTTCTTTGAAACAAAATAAATAAATAAAAGTCAATCAGTTTTGTAATACTAAATATCTTTGAAATACACGAATTTTGCTATATCAAAATCTAATTGATTGCATTTAATCATGTTAAAATATATTTTAGATCAAATTTTTGTAGCAAAAGTATATTCGTCTTTGTAAATGATACTAAATGACATAAAATTGTCTAAATTATTATATCTATTTGTTTTTATAGTTTTTTATAAGAATTCTTATATGTTTAATTTTAAAAATGTTTTGTCTAAACAAACACGTGTAATTTAATATACCAAAACCACCTAAAAATGTAAAAATAACAATCAAATTCTATTGAATAAGCATAATATTAACATGAATATATACATTAACACTTTAATTCTACTGACCAAAAAAAATAATTTTTGTCATCATCTTTAGCTCTATTCTTATTATGTATTGGTTACTTCAAATCATATCTGAATATTTTGCCTTTAAATAGTTTTAATTTTGATAAGTAATAGATATAATATGTTTTTAAACAATTAATCTTTGTAATAACTTATACCAAATAATGGTGATAAAATATTATATTATAATAAATAAAGTGTAAACACGAGTATATTTATATTATACGTAAAACAACATATTATTATTAATTTTAGAAGGTTCTTATATAATTGAAAGTATTATTTTGACTATTAATTTTTTCTTATTTTATACAAAGTTGATTGTTTTTATTCTACATGATTTGGTTATTTTTTATATATTTTATTAGTTAGTCTAAAATTAGAATTTGGAAATGCTTTAAATAAGTAAAAAAATAACTTAACTTAAAAATATAATTAATTACAGAAAATTATATGGACTAATAAAATGAATATTTTTATAATTTATATGATTTTATAATCTAATAATATGCTAATTTTTCTTTTTAATGTTAATAAGAAAATAAAATCTAATGTTCATACTTTTAAAATTAATTTTATTAATAATTATTTAAAAATTTTGAAACTTTCCCAATAACAACAAATATAAAAATTAAAATTTGGAAACTTTACTAATAATAATAAAAATAAAATTTATTAATTTGAAGATATATAATTAACTATAGAGGATGATGTGTACCAAGAGAATTGAATCTTTTAAATCATACTAGGTATATAACTCGCGCTCTGCGCGAGTCTTTATTAATATTTTGGTTTATTACTTTTAGCTACTATTTTAAAAATTATTAAAAATTATATATATTTATTGAAATTTTCATTTATATAAGAGAATTTAATATATAATGTGTAATTTATCCTATTTTTATTTATAAATTTTAAAAAACTATTAGATAAAATAATAACAATAACACCTATCGAATTATCCAACTTTGACGTACGCATACATTTGATTTAGAGAAATATAATCTTGCTAATATTTTGGTATTATTTCTGTTTTCCATAGAATTTCTATAGTTCTTTTTTTTATTGAAGGTTTATGTATTCAAATATTTAGTTTTTTATTGAAAGTCTTATTGATGTTGTGTACTGTATATATAATCATTGATTCATGTTGATTCGCATTTAATTTTGTTCAGAAAGCTGTAATGATCATGCAAAACCATTTTTTCCTTTTCCATCATGTCCTTCAAGAGTTTTATGTTATATTTTTATTCAGTTTTCATTGTTTTAATTGTTAAATCGAGTTGTTGTAGATTTTTCTTTTAAATTGATAATTGATAATGGTTACTTTTTTTAAATATGCATTGTTAATTGTTAATTTTTTTTATTTAACTTTTAAAATTTTAAACCATATTAACATTTTCTGATTTAATATATATGTTGATTTTGATCAATCACATTGAATTTACTTTTTTTTGTTGGACATAATTTGTTGAATTAATTTTTAATGTTTTAATTATACTTAATAAATTTAGATTTAATTTAAAAACTGATGTGAACCAATTAAATCAAGTTTTTCCGTCCTAATCATACTTAATATTTTTTTATTTAATGAATATGCTGATGTGAACTAATCAGATCGAGTTTTTTAATCCTATGTGGACGCCCTCAGTGCACTATGTCATCAACTTTTATATATTATATGATGTGGACACTCTTAGAGGCATATAACATCAACTTATATTAGTAATAATAGTAAGTCAAAAAAGAAAACAATTAACTTAAAAATATAAGTTATTACAGAAAATGATATGTACCAATGAAATGAATATTTTATAATTTTTATGATTTTTATAATTTAATAATATGTTATTTTTTATTGTTAATAGGAAAATAAGATCTAATTTTCATACTTTTTAAACTCATTTTTATTAATAATTATCTAGAAATTTAAAAAAATTCCCAATAACAACAAAAATAAAATTTAATAAAATTTAAAAACTTTACTAATAATAATAAAAATGAAATTAATCAATTTTAATATATATAATTAACTATAGATGATTATGTGTACTAATAGAATTGAATCTTTTAAATCTTATATGAATAGCATATAACATCAACTTTTATTAGTACTAGATATATGATATAAAATATTAAAAAAGCATAATAAGAAGTAAAATCACTATATTATGTTATTCTTTGTTAAATTGAAAAAGACATTAGTAGAATTATGTTTCTCTTAATATTGATGATAATGCACTCAAGTAATAAAACTTTTTGTAACTGTTTCTTATCAAATAAGGAAGGCATGTAGATTATCTTAAGAATATTTTATACATAAAATTTATTCTTTGTTTAATTAAGAATTCAGTCGGATTTCAAAATAGATTTCCAACAGCACAAACTCTATAAATTAAAAATTTCTCTTAAGTTAAATCAATCTAAAATATAACACATATTGATACAATAATAAGATAATATTTTAAAAAAAAAATATTTATGTAAATAAATAGTATCATTAATATCATAAAATGATAACTACCATAAAAAATAATCTTATATGAATAACTATGACAATTTACTAAAATATAAATATATAACTTTTTGTTTTTATAAAAATTGAAATAATGTTATAATTAATCTATAATTTAAAAGTGAAATGTTTAAAAATATCATAAACTTTTAAAACAAATACTATTTTCAATTAATTATTTATACAATAATTTATTTAAATTAAAATCGATAAACTACTTATAAATTAATAAAATATTAAATTTCAAATATTATTAATTTATAAAGTTTTGATTGTAAAAAGTGCTAAATTTTTTTAATAAGAAAACATATACATCCTATTAATTAATATTACTAAATATTTTTTATTGGTCGTTATTCTAGTAATCATTAACCCAGTAAGGAAGCTTTGTGGTTGAATAGTTCAAAAATAACCAAGTAACATCTAAGTTTGCACATTCCTTCCCCCTAGACGGCTAGACCCAAGTAGTCAGATAAGTTTGAGCCTATCTCGGATCGGAAAAAATTTCTGTTCTGGATAAACTGTTACTTGGTGGTTTTTGAACTATTCAACCACAAAGCTTCAATGGATACTATTAATTGAGTCGATCAGCTATCAGTTGTAGTATCCTACCACTTTTCTATATTCTGAGGGATCGGAGAGCAGTGTACTTAACAGGAGAGTCAGTTTTGTGAAAGTTGCCATTGGTGTGGTAATCGGCTTGGTGTTGGTTATGTTGTAGCGATGCAGAAGATCCATGACCAGCGGAGGTTCTATGAACTTCTAGGCCGAGAAAATAGTGAAAGTCCTCTGCATCTTTAACTGAGAATCAACTAATTAGCAGTTGTAGTATATGTTGAATCTCAGTCTTGCTACTCTCGGTAATGAGGATATCATCTACATAAACTAGTAGATAGACAAACTCCTTACCAAGCGGAAGAAAAAATAAAGATGTGTCCGCTAGTGAATTCTTAAAGCCAAGACTCAAAAGAAAGTTGTGCAGCTCCGTTTACCATGCTCGTGATACTTGTTTAAGGTCATTAATTTCTTTATTGAGGTGGCAAACATGTGTTGGATTGTCCGCATCAATATCAACCGGCGGTTGCTACATAAAGACTTCCTCACTAAAGAATCCCTTGAAAAAATGTGTTATTAACATCCAGTTACTGAATCGGTCAGGATTTAGTAGCGACAATGTCCAGAACAAAGTGTATTATTATAGATTTAATCACCGAATTGAATGTATCAATGTAATCTTGGCCATATTGCTGTATTCTTTGGAAACAGGGCGGGTTTTGCAACTATCAAAATTCTACATGGACATTTCAGTTAAAATTTATGTCGATCTGAATAGTTCGTTTCGGTTCAAATTGAAAACTCAATATATTTACTTAATTTAATTAATAATCATATTACTAATTGAGAAGCAAGTTAGAGTTATGACGATTGATTACTATTTACCCATTATATGAAAAGACTTTATTTATTTTTAATGAAATTAATAAATTAATATAATCTAATTTTTAATTAATTTTCATTTTTTAAAATCTAAATTTCCAAATTCGAGTTTATATTATAAAAAAATTCAGTTTACTAAGAATAGTTAACTAGCATAAATAAATAAAAATTAGATCCTAATTATTTTCTTAAACTAATTTTAATTTGATTAGTTAACCTACTAATATTTTTGACTAACTTAATTGATTTATGCGGTCACAAGTAAAACTCCAAATCTTTTAAATTTTTTTAAAACTCTCTATATATATATTAATTAATTTTAAGTTGATATGAAATAAGGATCTTTTAGTTTTGGTTATTTTTGATTGCTATGTTTTTTTAATGCAAATTTTGAGTTTCATTAATCTTAATCTGTCAATTTACACCAAAAGAAGAAAATTACTTATCATATTTAATAAATGCAACAAAACAACAAAACATACATATAAGTTTTAATCGAATAATATAAAAGATATTAGAAAATAAGATATAAATAATATATTTTATTTTATCACAAAAAACAATCTACTCATAAAAATTGTATTTTTTAAATAATAATAAAATTTGCTGCACCGGCTGGGTTCTGGGCGGTTCCGGCGAGGCCGGATTTCGGACAAGTCTGGAGCTTTGCCGCTGGAGCTCCACAAGAGATGTTCTTGCAACAGCAACAGCAACCAGCAGCTGCGCTATTCGTCCACCAGCAGCAACAGCAACAAGCTGCAATGGGTGAAGCTTCTGCAGCTAGAGTCGGGAACTATCTTCCGGGTCATCTTAACTTGCTTGCTTCTTTATCCGGTGGAGCTCCCGGGTCGGGTCGAAGAGAGGATGACCCTCGTTGAGATTGGTCTCATTAGGCCCCCTTTTTAGTTTGGTATATAAATCATATCTCTGTTTCTCTTTTGTCATCGATCAGTCTCCTTTGCTTCTTTTTTTTTACTCGAGTGACTTCTCTCTATGTGTGTGTTTCAGCTTTTAGAGATTGGTTGATTCCATAAGTGATTTGAGAGAGTATCGTTAGTGTTTAAGTTAAGATTAGGGTTAGGGTTTAAGAATCGGGTCTTAAGCATTGTTCCAGAGAGATTTTTTGTTTTTTTTTGTTGTGGGAGATCGATTTCTCATCGGTTCCAAGATTACTTAGTAAGCTCATGTTTAGAAAAAGGGAAATTAAGAAACCGTGGAGGTTTTGCCCTTTGTGTCTGGTTTTTCCGGCGAAACAGAGCCGTCCTCTAAATTCCAGATACAATATATTCTCATTGTTTGTTTTTGTTGCTAATTGTGTAATGTGTTATAATTGTGGAAATGCGCAAGCTGTTAACCACGTTTATTTTGAATAAATGTTCCCGACTTCGTATATTTGTTTGTAGGTTCCTTCTCATCTGCATTTATTGATAGACAAAAAAAGAGTGTGATTGTTTCGCTGAAATCGAACTGGAGGATGAACATATTTACTTGTGGATAAAAGTATTGTGTGGTTTTATTAAGACACTTTTTTCCTGGAATTTCGCGTCTTGATTTGAATGTAATAACAACAGAGGATTAAGTTAAAAAAAAAAAAAGACAAACCAGCTGTGTCGTCTGTCTGAAATCTTCAATTTTTAATTGCCTTCATGTTTCATAAGAATTTATGTCCTGTGTTTGGAAGTTTTCTTTGTCACGTAACTCACGCGTTAGTCAGAGAAAGATTGACTCATATTTTACTATTGAAAGTTGAAACCATATGGTGACACGATATCTCTTTTAAATTAATTTCTATATATTTTTGTTCTTCTAAAAACTTGCTTAAAAGTTATAACAAATTGAAAGAAAAAAGAGTTAGAATTTTTCTCGTCTCTCAGATGATTCGACTCATACGATTATTAGAAATCACTAAACGCTTTTCCGGTCTTATCCATGTGAGGTCACCAAGCGTACATTTGATATGAAAAGTGATGCCACAGAGACCACATGAATAAAACCATTTTTCTGGGTTTAGATCTTCCTCGCATAACACATTTACAGTTCACTAGTATAATTCACCATTCATCAAACGTAGCAGAGAAACAATTCACCATTCATCAAACGTAGTAAAGAAACAATCCACCATTCATCAAACGTAGCAGAGAAACAATTCACCATTCATCAAACGTTAGAAACCAAAGCAAAACAGTAAATCTCACAAACCCAGTTCAAAGCATTATCAAATCCAGTTCAAAGCAAAGCATTATCACATATAGAACCCTACAATTCTAGAATTATAGAATTGTGAAAACTTACCTCTAATGTGATGGTAGCGTATCAATATATTGGTGCTGCCTCCGGAATTGAGATTTGCGCCGCTTCCGGAATTGAGTTTGTGACCGAAATCTCTTTGCAAAAAAGGAATCACAAATCAAAAATTCTTCGATACATTTATCAATCAGAAACAGATTAAAGCCTTACGAAATCTCAGAATTACTAACTTTCTTCTTCTAGGAATTTGAGTGACGAAGAAGATCCGACGATTTTGGAGACGAAATCTTCGATCAATTTGAGGGAATCCAAACCGATTTCAAAGTAAATAGAGATGAATAAGATCCGACGAACACAAAAGCTGTGAAGATCGTTTCCGATCGAAAAGGTTTTTGAGTGAAAATTTTCTGAAAATGGAAAATCGAGCTTAGAGGTAGAGATCGAGCTAGAGGATTTGATTTTGGATCGAGCAGGTGGAAGGTTTGATTTAGTTTTTTTTCTTATTAATCTCGTTTATATAAAAGAGATAATCTAAGGAGTGCCACATAGGTAAAAATAATCAGTCAATAAGAATATAAAAAATTACCATATTGTTAAATTATAAAAAAAACTAACCAATAAGAATAAGACAATACGCCATATTAAAAAAAATAATTAACCAATAATGGATTTCAAAACTATTATGTCATCTTCTCCAACCAATAATTTAAAGCCATCTTATTAAATAATTTATTAATCAAAATTTTTTCAAATTTTATCTAAAAAAACTTTTATAATTCTTAAATTCTCAATAAAAATGACAAAGCTAAAAAAATCTGAAAACTAATTACACTAAAACTCAATTATATAAATTAAACAAAAGCTTATTTTATGGAGTCATCGTCTTCTCGGTTTCCAATCATCTCGCCTCTGACTCATCAGAAACAGAATCAGCCGTTACTAAACACAAATCTTACTTATTAATTAATGACAACCAAACTGGTGATAAACAATAAAACTTAAATAAGTGGAGCATAAACATTTGGAAATCCAAAAGACATAGCAATGAGGATGTAAAATAAAAAAGATATAGCGATGAGCCACATATGATATAAATAGTACACAACTCTATCACAAATGAAGTCTAATGTGTCTCATGCTTAAGATTGTTGTAAGCAACATAAAAATACAATCTCACAACTGTTTTGCATTTATATTTATAATGTGAATCAAGTAGAATGAGTCTGAATCATAGTATTGTTGGAACTGGAGAACGTCTTTCTCGCCAAAAGTAAAACTTAAGGAGCGACTCAGTTTTCTTTCGTCTAGAGAAATTAATTTATACAATTGTAACTTTTTGACTTATAACAGATTTCAAGTTTCTAAAGCTGATATAGAGTTCCATATTGTTCGTTGTAATCTGACATTGTCGAAAAACTGAAGTAAAAACCTAACTAAAGAACCGGTGATTAAAGATAGTTACTCACCGTTTCTTAATTTTCATTTGCAAAGTTTCATGAAACATAAAACTGAAAATATTTTTTTTCAAATAACATATAACGATAAATTCTACACTCTTCACCAATATTGGCAAATGATTGAGCTAGCTAAACTACCAAACAAATACTATATCAATTAATAAAGAACTCATATAATAAAGAAGTTTATTATTAATTACCATTTGTTTTCTTCGTTGAATATATGAACTAATTATAAAACATCTATGTGCATACTGAATGTTAAAAAATTGATAAGTAGAGAAATGCATACTATATGAAAATTAAAAACAAAATCCTAAGATACAATATGAAACAAAAATGGAGTAAAGATTGATTTTTTAAAAAAAAAATCATCAAGCGAAAGGGAAGCTTATGCAAAATGTTTTTGAAAATATAAAAAAATACTCATGGTGTTCATTAAAGAAATAGCATTATAACATAAGATGTCCAAATTTAGACAATAGATTTCTAATATAATATATAGTTCATGTGGATACTATTTACATAAACAAAAAATATAACAAAATTACACATCAAATTATTTTACAAAAATGTTAAACTTTACCCTTCATATTTGCAAAAACATGCATTAACTCTAAAAAAAAAGTTTAACTAAGCCAAAAGGTATATTAATCTACTTTCAAATTATTATACAAAAATTTCGATCATTTTTTCACATATATATATACATCTTTCTGATACTTATTTCGCTCGATTATATCTAAGAATCACATGCAAATATACTACTCTATAATTTCACAATATTAAACACAAAATTAATTGACAATCTTTTATAAAACTACAATATAATTATATAACCCACACGTAGAGTGGACAAAACACTAGTTTTTAATAAAACTAGAAAAAAGAAATATCATTTTACATCATTTCAAAATGTGACATAAGATAACTTCATTAAACTTTTTTTACTGTCGTTTCTTAGAATAACTCTAATTAAATGACGCTATACACCTTGATTTTTGTAGTGATAGTAGTTTGTACCAAGATTACAGGCTTCACATTTTAGCCCACGCGTTGGATATAGTTTATAAATTTCTCTGAGTAATTCCATTTTCTTTTGGTAAAGAAAGTATTTCGACAGATCGAAGCTTATACTATAGTATTTTCAATTTTATTTTATGCTTTGGTTTCGCGTAACGATGAGAACTTTCCTTATATATAATATGATATAAAACCACGATATTAAGTTATTATTTGTTAAAATGAAAAATATACCCATAATATATGCTTTTCTTAATATTGATCATAATGCAGACTCAACGAATAAACTCTTTTAATGTAACCATTGTTTTTCGAAAAAAGAAAAGAAAGTACATGGGACTCTCTTAAGAATATTTATACACCGAAGTTATTCTATGTTTAACTAAGAGGACATTCCGATTTTCAAAATAACTTTCTAACGTATTTGGTAGCAAGTACACTGTAACATCCACTTCTCATCATATTAAGACGAGGTATCATCTATTTAACTTTTTAACCTAGTTACTATTTTTTTAAACTCAAAACCAATACTCATTTAAAAATAGAACTCAAATAGTCTTGCAAAACCGAATTTAAACTCAAAATAACCTCAATAGATCCTTAAAGAAAAGAAAAGTTATTTAAAAAGAAAGCTAAGTGTTTTAGGTCTCCAAGATCGAACTAATGAACACTAACACTACCACCATGCGATCATTGCTGCTGCTTCTACGCACCTGCGAAAGAGGGTAGAGATATGCAGGGGTTGAATAATTTAAATTATCCAGGAAAATGCATACATGTGATTCACCACACATATCACAACCAGGGGCAGACGCACATTGAGAGTTTGGTGGCACGTGCCCCATACTCATTTTTGATTTTTGTTATATACATTAGGTAAACTTTTAAACATAACTAAGTTTTTATTTACCCATTTGTTTGGATACGGTTAAAAGCAGGTTCAAAATTAAAAGCCCATTTGAAATTATAAATCAATGAAAATTAATGATATTGTTTTGCTTTTTTTACTTCTTGACTTAGCAACCATTTTAATTACTGCTTTAGAGCAAGCCTAATAAAGATATAATTAGTGTGGATCTTATTCATTAATTATTAATATTTTGTATACTTTATGTATATAAGACACTTTATAGTATTTTGTTGTTTTTATAGCATACAATGGAAACATTTTTGATGGGTGTCTTAAAAAAAAATACAATATATATATATATTTAAATTTGGGTGTCTTAAAAAAAAATACAATATATATATATATATATTTTAATAAATTTAAGTAAAAATTTTGGTTAACAACTTTTCAAACATTATACATTCTCAAAAATGTAATACATGAAAACATATAAATTATAGAAGTACAATTCAGAAATTAGAATTTTCTATCGTCTACTCATAGCTTGCCATGTGTGCATTTTTAATTTAGACAATGTATCTTAATTTTAGACACTCATCTAAAATATAAGACATCAGTCACCATTAAATGATTGTGAACATTACCTTACGTAATTAAATAAGCAATCAATTTTTATATGATTATCTAGTTTGTCTTATTGAAAAATAACTATTTGATAATGTGACAAATTAAGTAGTACTAATAAAAAGATTTCAGAATATGGAAAATCGTAGGATAATTTTATAAGAGTTTTTTTAGTTTTTAATTTTGTTTGGTTGTATATTTTTTTGTTATTTATACTTTATTTTTAATAATTTATTTATTAATTAAAATTTCAAATATGTGCCCCATGCTAAATAAATTTTTGCGTCCGCCCCTGCACATAGCATAAACATGTTGCTAGTCATTATAGTTTTGGCAAACATCGCAGAAATATGAATCAGCAGAGCAGAGTATAGTCATTGGCATCTTGTAAAAATAATCTGCAATCTTTTTTGGGGAAATAAGCACATTTCTGATGAATGGTGAAGTCATCACATTCCATGCAATCGTAGAATGGGCTACCTACCAAAAATGGGATATGTGCATACGTGTTCATCATTAACATCACTCTCTTCTTCTTTGAGCTTTAAAGTATGCTTCTCGTGACTGAAATGCTTTATTTCTTTTAAATGATGTTAATCTGTCTACTGTTAGCTAAAACATCAATTAAAATAAGTTTAAATATTTATTATACTTCTGTTTTGAAACAAGATCAACAAATAAAAGTCGATCAATCTCTCAATACTAAATATCTTTGAAATACATGAGTTTTGGATATACTAAACTCTAATTGAGATTGTTTTTATCATGTGAAGATATAGTCTAGAAGCTCTTTGTCAAAAAAAAAAAAAAAAGATATAGTCTAGATCAAATTTTTGTAGTAAAAGTATATTCGTCTTTGTAAATGCTACAAAAATGACATAAAATTGTTCAAATCATTATTTTCTATTTCTCTTTATAATTTTTTTTATAATAATCTGTATATGTCTAATTTTTTTAAAAAAATTGTCTGATCAAACACTTATAATTTAATATATGAAAACACCACCTAAAAGTGTAGAAAAATTATTGTAGACTAACTGATCTTTATATATTAAAAATCCACCTAAAAGGTAACAGGTATAATATAATTTTTTAAACAATTAATCTTTGTAATAATTTATAAAAAACGATGGTAATAAAATTACTATATTATAATAAATAAAGTGTTTTTAAACATGAGATTATTTATATTATATGTAAACAACATTTTATTATTAATTTTAGATGGTTTTTATATAATCAAAAGTGTTATTTTTAATTAATAGATTTTTCTTATCTTATTTTAAGTTAATTTTTTTTCTTTTTATATTTTTCATAATTTACTTATTTTTATATATTTTATTAGTTAGTATAATATTAGAATTTGAAACTTTTCTTAATAAGTCAAAAAGAAAATAATTAACTTAAGAATATAATTAATTACATAAAATGATGTGGACCAATGAAATGAATATTTTTATAATTTATATGACTTATATAATCTAATAATAAATAATTTTATTTTTATTTTTAATAGGAAAATAAGATCTAATTTCTATACTTTTTAAACCTATTTTATTAATAATTATT